TACTCCGAAAGGCTTCCTATCAAGTTGGAATATAAACTAAACTCTGCCCCAGCTGTCGTCTCCTACCACACTGCGTACCACCCAGCTACCATTGTCTCTGTTCCCTTCTTGCGACACATCTAACCACTGCCTCCCCAAGGCCTGATACCTACTCTTCCCTTGGCCCCCATATCTTTCCCTCAACACCTTCCCTAGGTGATTTATTCTCATCTTCCAGGCAGATTCCACCTCATCTTCATTTCGGCAATTGCCTCCTCAGAAAAGCCTACCCACCCTGACTACGTTATCTGAAGGAATACCTGGTTACTTCCTACCTACACCTTCATAGCTCCTGTACACATTTGTAATTCATTGCCTTACTAAGTTTTTAGTTTGTTGCTTGCTGGCTACCTCCCCACTGAAATGGAAACCCCATAAGAACAAGGAGAGTGTCTATCTTGATAAGCACTCTATCATTAGCTTCCACAATGCCATGTCTGGAAGGTGAGTGGAAGACTATGGGGCACATTATAGTGTGATTGTAAATGACAAAGACATTTACCTAGCCTCGTTACAAAAAAAAAAATAGGTTAACTGGATTATTTTTATATTGGTTTTCTGTTCATTAATTTGCAATTTTTTAAAAATTTAAGATTAAAGACATAGACTCTTTGCCTGTCATAAATGCTGTTTCAGTTCTCTGCTTACCTCTGTAATTGAGTTATAGTGAGTTTCTTCCTGTATGACTTTTCCATTTTTATTTAGTAAAATCTGTTAATGTTTTTCTTCATGGATTCTGCCTTTGATGTTATTCTTAGAGGGTTTTCTCAGCCTGACATTTAACATATATTTGCCATTATTTAATTGTATTCATGCTTTTATTTATCACCTAACTCCTAACCTATCAGAAAATTTTTGGTGTGTATTGTGGAGTGAACATCTGAATAATACTTTTCTCTAGGGGCGTACCAATTGCTTAATTTTAACAATAAGCAATCTATTCCCCTGTAACAAAAAAACCCTCTTTATCATAATTACATTATCTAAATACTTCACTGAATGTCTTTGGATTTCCTTTTATTGCTCATTATTGTCTTTTCCTGTATTGGTTACTACGTATTTTTGTTTTTTACTGATCTCAAATAAACCTATAATATGATGGGTCAATCCTATGACTTCGAGCAGGTTCCTGAATCACTCTGAATCAGGAATCATTTTTGGTAAATGCAGATAATCATATCTATCTCACAGCCTACTTAGAAGGATTACATTATATAATGCATATAAAGTGTTTATTTTCTTCAGTAAAAATTTACAGTTTTGCTCAAAAGAATTCTGAAGATAACTTACTAAATCTTTATAATATAGATACATATTCTATATGTACTACATACTGGATAGCATATATACTAGATACAGAAAAGGGACTCCTTTCATCTTTTCCAAATGGTTACTTCTGAATCATAGGATAAATTTCTAAACATAATTATATGCAAAGTAGCTTTCTTAGATAATTTCATGATGTCTAAATTTGTTGAATTGTTTTAATTTGCCACATGGTCAATTGTTTATTCTTTTTCCATTTTCCTGTACATATATCACATTTATTTTTCCTGGCTTCTTGCACTGGCTGTAGCAATGGTAAGTAACAACAGTGTACCTGAGACACGTAAGCATAACGATGGCCAATGATTTCAAACCGAAGACTTTTTCTTATCTTCCAGCTGGTCTATATTAAAATAGTATGTTGGATGCAAGTTTTCATCCAAATACCTTTTCGGCTTATCTTTCTTTTTTTAATTTAAATTCAATTAGCCAAGGTATAGTAACTACATCATTAGTTTTTGATATAATGTTCAATGATTCATTAGTTGAATATAACACCCAGTGCTCATCATATCACGTGCCCTCTTTACTTCCCATCACCCAGTTACCCCATCCCCCCACTCACCTCCCTTTCCACTTATCTTTCTGATAATCATATTGGACTTCTTTTCCTATTAAAGAATTTCTAAAATTTCAAATTCCTTTGCCTTGCTGTTTTATTGGGATTTTCACATGCAAGTCTATAGTATATCATTTTTACAGTTTTGAATATTTTATTTATGAATATACACACACACATATATACTCATAGTGAGACTGAGTACAGGTTTTCTTTTGGTGCTCTCTTTTTTTAAAGTTTTGCATCAGTTTCATACTAGTTTTTATATAGCTAATTGAGAAGTTTGCATTAGTTTCTTATACTTTGACAGTTTAAATAACATTCAGTAAAATTCTTTCAAGGAATGATTTGGCTTGAACATTCATTTTGGAGAAAGCTCACTGACAACTTTTATTTTCTACCACAGTTAATGGCCTACTTTCCTCTTCTAACTTTTCTTGAATAAATTTTGGTAATTTACATATTTCAAGAAAGTCATGCATTTATCAATGAGCTACATATTACGAAACTTGTAACAACATATTGTATTCCATTGTAATTATTTCATTCATTCTCATGTGCATATCCTACTTTGAATGCATAATGTTATACATTTTTGTGTTTTATTTTTGCCATTTTTCATATTGCCAGAGATACATCCATATTATTGTTCTTTTATCAGAATCAGGTCTTTGATTTCTCAATTTTTTTTAAAGATTTTATTTATTTAGTTGACAGAGAGAGAGATAGCAAGAGCAGGAACACAAGCAGGGGGAGTGAGAGAGGGAGAAGCAGCCTTTCCACCAAGCAGGGAGCCTGATGTGGGGTTCGATCCCAGGACCCTGGGATCATGACCTGAGCCGAAGGCAGACGCTTAACGACTGAGCCACCCAGGCATGCCTGATTTCTCAATTTTATTGCATCATAGTCTAATTTATTTATGTTTGTTTTTATTAAATGTTTTTATGACTTTTGCTGAAATTTTTCATTTTTCTTTGCCTCTAGAATTGAATGAAAGTTTGTTTTACAGTTTTTTTATACTTAATAGTACACTGGATAAGCATACGAATTATCTTGAGACTAGCTTTGTGTCAGATAATCTGAGCTGTGATGATTGTTTGACACTAATTTTGACAGAATCTTTAATTTCATTCTTGAATCAAAATTAAAAATTAAAAAGTAAATGGAGGTTTTTGCTTAATCCTCTGTTATTTAGTTTTAAATATATTGATTGTTTTTATAATTATAATTATTAAGTGGGTATTTTGTCAAAGGTTGTTATTTAATATTAAGTATTTGTTTTGTTTGCACTATAATCAGTCAATTATGACTTGTAGAATTTCTACTCTCAGACTCAATGAAGTTCTTTTTCTTTTAAGTATTGGATCTGATCTTCCTGTATACATACTATAGGGGCATCAAAAAAATGGATTTTCTGTAGATATATCCTATAGTTACATATTTGATATATACATATTTGATATATACTGAAACAGTAATTAAGGAAGCTCTATTTAACTTTTAAAAATTTTGTCAGGGTGCCTGGGTGGCTCAGTCGGGTTAAGCAGCCAACTCTTGGTTTCGACTCAGGTCATGATCTCATGGGTCATGATATCCAGCCCACCTTGGGCTCTGCAATCAACAGGGAGTCTGCTTGAAGATTCTCTCCCTCTATGCCTCCCCCACACCCATGTGTGCTCTCTCTCTCTCAAATAAATCTTTAAAAAAATTTTTGTCATCTGAGTGTGTCAAACACTAAAATTTTCAGTTTGAACTTTTACTAAAACTATGGTGTTGTCAATTTCTTCTTAGATTTCTAATAGTTTTTCTTTACGTTTTTGGATGATTTATTATTCATTTTGTGAATATTATGTCTTCGTTGTGAATTATTTATTTTAAAATATAAAATAACATTCTTAGTATCTTTTTATGCTTCCTCCCTTCCATTCTTTTTTGTCTGTTATTAATTTTGCTGCATCTGTTTTCTGCATTTTCATTTGCCTGATCTATTGCTACTCTTCCCTTTTGTAATTTTTCCCCAGCTTTATTGAGGTGTAATTGGCAAATAAAATTGTAAGATATTTGATGTGTGCAACATGATGATTTGATATACATGTTCATTGTGCAAGGATTCCTACATCAAGGTAATTAACACAATCATTGTCTGACATATTTACCTTTTTTTTGGTGATAACATTTCAGCTTTATTCTCTTAGCAAATTTAATTATACAATACAGTGTTATCATGCTCAGTCACCATGTTATACCTTAGATTCTCAGACCTTATTCATCCTATAGCTGAAAGTTTGTGCCCCTCACCAACGTTTCTCCACTTCCCCACCCTGCCTCCCAGTTCCCAGCAACCACTTTTCTACTCTCTGTCCCTTCTGTAGTTTATGTTTCAAGCTTATCTGTTTGCAGATACCTTATATTCTAGTTTGTTTGTGTTGAACCCTGCCTGAGACATTGCTCTTTACTAATTTGCATCATTTTTATAACTGATATGTTTTGGCTTACTTAAACTCTCTTAATAATTCTTTACTATCACTTTTCTTTTTTCTTTTTCTTTTCCTTCTTGATTTTTTTTTTTTTAAGTTGTAGCTTTTGTGGGTAAATCAAAACTGCACTGAGCATTCTATTCAATTAAATAAAAATCTACTTTATCCAGGCAGTGGGTGAATGCCATGGCTGGGAATGTGACAATGGCCTGGGCTATCCTTTATCATCCACTGTTGTCACCACAAATGTTCCTTACAGGACTAAGGGGATGTTCTTCATGTTCAGCCTCCGTTCTTTTTTTTTTAATTCTTATGTTAATCCCCATACATTACATCATTAGTTTTAGATGAAGTGTTCCATGATTCATTGTTTGTGCATAACACCCAGTGCTCCATGCAGAATGTGCCCTCCTAAATACCCACCACCAGGCTAACCCATCCTCCCACCCCCCTCCCCTCTAGAACCCTGTTTGTTTTTCAGAGTCCATCGTCTCTCATGGTTCGTCTACCCCTCCGATTTCCCCCGCTTCATTCTTCCCCTCCCGCTACCTTCTTCTTCTTTTTTTTTTTCTTAACATGTATTGCATTATTTGTTTCAGAGGTACAGATCTGAGATTCAACAGTCTTGCACAATTCACAGCTTCAGCCTCCATTCTTGACGGTCCTCTGCCACTCCATTCTGTCCTGTGTGCCAGGTAATATAAGTTCATTATTATTTTAATGTCTTATTTTTAAAAATTAAACTGGGGTGCCTGGTGGCTCAGTCGGTTAAGCCTTGGACTCTTGATTTCAGCTCAGGTCATGATCTCAGGGTCCTGAGATCGAGCCCTGTGTTGAGCTCCCCATTCGGCACAGAGTCTGCTTAAGATTCTCTCTGTCCCTTTGCCCCGCACCAGCTTGCACTCTCACTCTCTTAAATTAATTAATTAGTTAAAGTTAAAATTAAAAAATGAAACCTACACAACAATTACGAGAATAGTACAATGGACATCCACATACTCTTTACCTAGATTGGCCAAATGGTAACATTTTCCACGTTTACAGTGTGAGTGTGTGTATGCTGCATCATTTGATATGTGGCAATTATAATGACCCTAAATCCCTAAACACCTTAGTACAAGTTTCCTAAGAACAAGGGCATTCTTTATATAACCATGGCATAATTGCCAAACAATGAAAATTTAATATTGGTAGATTGTTATCACCAAATATATAGCCCCTATGGGCATTTACTAATGTTAATAATGTGCTTTAGAGCAAAATATTGTTTTTCTTCTGGTAGGCACCACCTTAGCCAACTGACCAAAGGTAACACCATCCATATTGGGACAAAACCATATCACGAGCCTCTTGATATGATGCACTGAAAAGGATACAATGTCACTTCCGTAGTTTTCCTGCCAAAAATGCATAACCTGAATCTGATCATGAGGAAACATCAGACAAACTCAAGCTGAATGAAATTCTATGATATAACTGGCTCACACTCTTTAAAAATGTCAAGGTTAAGAAACAAAGAAAGGGTGAGGAACTAATCCAGGTTAAAGGAGTTGTTAAGGACCTGACAAATGAGTGCAAAGCATAAGTCTGGAGAGAGCTGGAGTAAACTAGCTCTAAAACAGGGATTGGCAAACTATTTCTGTAAAGAGCCTGATAATAAATATTGTCAGGTTTATGGACCATATGGCCTCTGTTGCAACTACTCAACTCTGTGGTTGTAATGCGAAAGCTGCCATAGACAACATGTAAACAAATGGGCATGATTTTATTCCAATAAAACTTTACTTCTGGAAACAGATGGCAGGTGGGCTGTAGTGTGCAGATCCTACCTCTAAAGGGCATTGGGACAATTAGCAAAATTTGAATATGGATAGAGGATCAGATAATATTTTTATTTTGTTTTGTCAGTGCTAAACTTCCTAAAATTGATAACTATATGATGGTTATGTAAGAGAGTGTCCTTCTTAGGAGATACATACACACACACACACACACGTAAACAGAGATGCGGTGAGAATATTATGTATGGAGAAGTAGATAGATAGATCTTTATCTGATCTATATCACTTTCTTTTTCTGATCCAGACTCTAATCCAAGGTCATGCTTTTCATTCCATCTTGTTTAATGGAGAATGGCTTCTCTTCTTTTCTCTCTTCCATGATTTTGATATTTTTGAAGAGTCAAACTAGGCTTTTGTAGTAACCTATCCCTCAATCTGTATTTGTCTCAGAATTAGATTTACACTGTGATTTTTGGTAGAACTACCATAAAAGCGATATTCTGTCTCACTCAGCACATCCCGTCAAGAGGCACATGATGCCAATTTATTCCATGATTGGTAACGTTAGCATTGATCACTGGGTCAACATGGGGTTTTCCGGATTTCTCCACTCTAAAGGTAACTTGCTTCATCACTCTTCATTTGTTATTTTCTAATTTAGTGAAACCGCCTTCATCGTGAAATCTGACATCTTCCTCTATTCAGAGGAGCCATCATTTCCTGCATTTTATACACTTACAAAAAGAAACCAGCTGCATTGTATTGGTGACCTCGAACTCAATAGATGTTTGTGAAATCTTCTTGTAAGAGTCAACTTTTGTTTCTGTCACATGAAAAATTCTTTCCATTACATTTGCACGTAACAGTGAGACACAAAGGCCAGGACTCTTAATCATGTGGGGGAGCCCCTTGCAGAGACCCAGTATGTTTAAGAACACACTCTTCTATTTAAAGGTTATTGTGCCAATACCAAATAACTACCACCGCTGGATGTGAGGTGGTGGCTTTGATTCATAGACCTTTCAGGGCTGCTATGATTTGCATTACTATAGTAAGGACGGTTTTATTAAAAGTTATACATTATAATAACCTAGATTTTTAAAAACATGAATATGGATCTTAGGATATTGATGTACCAGCTACACAGCTAATTAAGAGTTCAGAAAAAAAATATACTAAGATTAAGACTTTGAATGTTTCGAATGATTTTTAGAACTGAAAAGGTATAGGTTTGGTTATGAATATGGCCCAACAAAATGCTTTTTTTTTGCTTTAGTTGCATACCTCAGGGGGTAGTAACAAGGAAGCCAGGACCCCAGGGACATCTATTTGCATAGACATCATGCACATTCCATATCTGTGACCAGGTCCACTTCAGCCAGTGGGCATCCTGGCACAGTGATGGGCATGTGATGGGTTCCATGTGAAAATAATACCTGAATAAGTGAATTCAAAGAAGAGAAGGAGTGGGAGTTTTCAATCCAAACAGAGAAATGGGGTTAGTGGTGTGGATACATCCTTTGCGAGGGATGAGGCAACATGACATGCTTACCTGTAATGGAAAATGCCAGGCACCTCACAAAGCCAGTGGATTAAGAGAATTTTCAAGCTTGACACATTGGAGCTGAAACAGGAAGTCATTTGGGGTTCCTCCGCCTTGATGGATGGGGCCATGTAGTGCATTTTGGCTTTGAAAACAAATATACCCGGAAGAGTGAAAGGGAGGCGATTGCTGAGAGTAAACGCAAAAGCCACTGTCCTCCCAATTATCTTCGGAAGAGATAAAGATTTATTGAAGGATGTTTGTTCAGGATGATCAATGGTTTCCTGTCTGGCTCTAGGTACCTGGCAGAAAATTTTCATTTTCTATGGTGAGTGGAGAATACCAATTTATCTCTCTTTCAGAGGTGACGCTTGACTGGAGGTGCAGAGAGTGAGCACACCTAACTTAGGCTCTTCCATCACTATCTTCATAGAAAGGGATTCGATAAATCCACTTTAGGAAAATATCCAGCAGTGCATTTGCTTCATATGGCAAGTTTTGATGGTCATTCCTCTCGGACTTGGGCCCTAGATCCCTTGGGCAGAAAGGAGTGTGGTAGGAATGGGAAAGGATGCTGAGGTACAGCCAGAGCACACAGTCGCCTGTCATGCTCTGCAATCTGTGGCACAGAATCAGTATTGAGCAAAATTGCATCTGAGAAATTCAGAGCCATTCCAGCAAGAGCCAGGGAACCAGAACTTCAAGCTGGAGCTAATTTGTGAGACAGAGGGAGGGAGAAGTTGGTCTGTTCCTTTTGCTTTTGTTGGCCAGGCATATATTGAGTACCTTTCATCCCAAGAGCACTGCTCATTCCCCAAATGTGCTCCATTTCCTGCAGCCCACGGAAGCCCAACCCAAGTTTGAGCAGTAACCCTCACTGTGGGTCTAAGAGGAGGCAGAGACTTTGGGCAACAACTCATAGTAGGAAACGGAAAAGATTTTCCAGCATGATGCTCCTGATGGTGATGGGGATTCCTGCTCCCCAGAGAGCCTGTACCATTTTCTCCTTCCTGTCTACTCCATCCACCTAAACTATTCTTCCTTCCTCGGAGACCACGCTACCCTATAAAAGCTGCCCTGGGTAGCTGCCACTATCCTCCACGTATGTGATCTGCTTCTAACCCAATTTTCCATCTGAGTTAACAAGACCAAGTGAGGCGAAGCAATTTGACCTTGATCCCCAGTGACCCTGTGACTGGTCTACATTTAGAAGAGAACTCACCCCTCTCCAACCAGAGCGGCTCACAACAACCACTCTGTACCTGAGCCTTTCAGCTGCACTAAGATGTGGTCTAGATTAATACCCACTTAAGCACCAGATGGATGTCTGCCAACCCAGATCAGTTGGCATGCCACTCTGAAAACTTCTTCACTCTTCCTAAGTGCTGTCCATCCTTCCATCAATCAACCAAGCAACTTTGTAAATTAGTAAGACAAAATTTTCCAAAGGACATCCTTGTCTTCCAGTCATTCTTTTTAGCACCTCTACTGCTGCAGAACATTTGCACCTATTTTTTTAAAAAGAAGCATGGAGAGGCAGGCGTCAGAAACTTCAGTGGAACTTTCTTACTCATTGCCTGGGATATGTTATTTTCTAGCTTCTTATTCTGTTCTTTCTTTTAAAAATTAATTTCTTTTTAAAAAGCAGCAAGACTATCTATAATCTGATGAATTAAAATAGTTTCCTCCATTACTAATGAAACCAGTCTTTAGAACTAGTGTTCAATTTGGCAGTTTTAATTATGGACATATTTCCAAATCTGATTAGAGTATCCAACATATATTCGACTGTGGCTTTATGTTTTATTCCAGGAGGGAAAATGTCTGCTTTATGTTTGCTCAGAGTGCTTTCTTAGCATTGAACTGGTGAAGGACATGGATAATTCAGACAGATGGGGACCCTGCCTTGAAGGGCCTTACAGGTGCCGAGAGACACAGGCATGGCTGCAGACAAGCAGGGCCAGAGGACAGCAGGGTGGGGTTCAGGGAGCAATCTTTCGGGAAGAAAGAATGGAAATGAGTCAGAGCCTCATGGATTATAGAAACCAAAGGTGGGGTGAGCTCTGGAAAGGATTTGGTTTAAATGCTCCTTGCACTCCAACCCTGGATGTAGAGACATCAGCGAGGATGGAGAGCATATGGCACGTGTGGAGCATTTCAGTTCCCTCAGCCTGGACAGACCCCACTATCTGACAGGGGATTCATTGGCTCACAAAGTAGAACTTCTGGGGGCAGGATAGGTGGATCCAGTTTTCCACATATGGGGATCCCAGCTCCTGGGAAATGCTCAACCCAAGGAGTTATATACAGGAGACAAGACATGCAAACCAGTGAGCCCAATGCCTTGCATGGAGCAGAAGCTTAATAAATA